AAAAAAAAAAAAAAAAAAAAGAAAATATATACTGATCGAATTGAGTAACCTCCTCCTTTTTCGAAGTCGGTTAATAAGCGACGGACTAAAAGATATTAGCAAATTTAAAAAGGAGGTAGGGACCCCAAAAAAATGGAACGTTAAGTCAATGAGAATGGCTAGAGATGGGGGAATAATAGTAGAGGCGGAAGGGGAAGATGACATCTCTGCTTGGGTGGTACAAATCAAAGAAAAAGTGGGGGATAGAGCAAGAGTAATTAAGTTAGAACCAAAAGAAGGCGTAAGGATACGAAGAATCGATCCATCAATGGACTCCCAGGAGATCAGGGAGGCTATTGCTCTTAATTTAAAGGATGGTAAAAACCTCGAGATAAACGATATAGAAGTAGTGAGGATAATTAGGGAAGAAGGTGGCTTTCAAACCGCCCTTGTGAAGCTCCCGGATAGGATCGCGGAAACGCTAATTAAAAATAATAGTATTAAGATAGGTTGGTCCATTTGCACAATTAATAAATATTCTAAAATTTTAGTTAAATGTTGGCGATGCGGAGGATATGGCCATAATACGAACAACTGTAATAAACAATCAAGGACGAGAGAGGATAATCCCCCCCTCCCCCCTAAGGAGCGAGGATCTGCAAACAACAGGGAGAATACAATCAGAGAGGATGAGAACTCACCAAGGAATATGGAGGTGTTGAAAACCGCGGAAAAGGCGAAGTGCTGGAGCTGCGGGGGACTGGGACATAGGACGGAGGATTGTAGCAGAGAAAATAGGACCACAAGACGAAAGGATATTGATTGGAATAAAGAGCGTGAAAACGGAGACAAAAGGCAGGAGGAACGATGGACTTCGCCACGGCAGGAGGAGTGGACGGGTAAGTCTAATTCCTTCGAACAAGAGTTAGAAAGGGCTAGAAAGACCCTTAGGGACATTGATGATCTGACGCGAGTCAGTGACCATGACGAAGACGTTAAGTCGGATAGTAGTGTAGTAAATTTGTAACAAGGGGAAATAAGGACACATTTTACTGTTTTTTAACAAAGAACGCTTATTTTAATTCTTTTATACTGTTATGACAATGCACGCTGATACAAGAATAATACAGATAAACCTGAATAGATCCCCAGCGGCGTGGGATCTGTTGGATAATAAGATGCAGAAAGAGGGTACTAGCTTGACTATAATTAGTGAACCGCCAAGATCGATGGGCAATTGCACCACTTACTTGAGTAAGGATGGAGGCGCCGCGATTGTGGGGGCTAATCTAGGTAAGAGTTTGAAAATGACCTCACAAGGAAGATGCTATGTACCCTGTTCGTATGGGGATATAATGATTTTTTCGGTGTATATTTCGCCAAATAGACAAATGAACGAATTCATCACGAATTGGGAAGAGCTGTCAACCGAGGCAGACAAGCTTAAAAGGGGAACAGGACATAGTAAGATTATTATTGCGGGCGATATGAATGCCCATTCCATTAGATCGGGTAAATCCAGAAAAAGGGGTATAGAACCGAGAGGAAAGTATTTAGAGACATGGCTAGATGATTACGGATTTATCTTGTTACGCGGGAAAGAGATCAGTTCGTGTTTTAAAAAAACAAAATATTTATTTTACTCCTTAATCACTACAACACTTTACAATGTGCGCAATTTGTTACAATCGAATGTTCTCGCAATCCGACCCGAAACCTTAGCTCCGACTATCTTGAGTGTATATTATTATTGCCTGATGATTAATGTCCGATGGTTAATGTCGCGCGCGCCGGCCTGCTTCTTCTTTTATACTCTTGCTTATCTCCTGATGGCGTTACCGTTTTCGGCTTATCTTGTTTTCGACGTTTGGACCACGCGTTATCTTGTTTATACCGTTTGGCCGGTGAGATTCCTCCCGGGGTGAAAGAAAATGCGTCCTCGCATTTTAATTTATATTTCGAGAATATTCTAATCTATTCGAATATTACATTCCTTCCTGAATCTATTAAATCCTGTTCAAATTCTACTGACAACTCTAATACGCTCTCTAACTTATTTACTAAATTGGGGTTATTTTTCCATTCTACAAACATGTTACAATATATTTCTGAATACTTAATGATCTAGTTCTTAATAGATAGAAAAATCTAGAGAAAAATTGTAAATAAGAATCGCATTCTTAGTTTCAATGTACCTCGTTGGTAGGCAGTCTGTAGAACGTTTTTCTGGAAAGTCTTGATCTTGTTGACGGTTCTCGTTCTTGGTATTGGGGTGGTTCTTCTTCCTGGTGCATTAGATCCGTCATTCTGATTGGTCTCGCAGGTGTTCTATCGATTGTCTGTGCATATGTTCCAAATGAACAATGATCGTAAATTGTGATACACGGCGTTAATATTTTCTTCATTAGCTTCCATATAGGTTGTAGGCAATTTATTTTATGCAGAATATATAATGTGGCTCCAGCTAAACTAGCATATCCTAGTATGGTAATATAATATTTGAATCGCTCCATTGTAGTCATGGTTCTCCTTTTTAGCGATAATATTTCAATCTGTTGATTTATTTCGTCTATCGTTGTTCCTATCAATTGAAGGTCTTGAGCTGTAATTTGTGTTTTCTTTAGATACGTTATATTAAGATCTTGTATATCGATTTGTCTGTCCATTAGTATTTGCTTCCAATGGTCTAAATGTTCTGTGGTTTCGACAGGTATATTTAATGTGGTGTTTCCCTTTTCTCCTCCGGCTTTTATAATTGCTTCTTCGGTTGTTCCGGCGCATCCTTGCGGTAGATGTACTATGTTTCTGTCTTGTATTGTTATTATATGCAGTTCTTTATTCTCACAAATAATATGTATTTGTTCCTTCTTAGGGGTAATGGCTATCCAGTCTTGGTTTGTTGACAGTTGAATGAATAACGTTCCTTGCAATTTTATATATTTTTGCGAACATTGTTGGCTTTTCTTCAGAAGTAATTCTATTAAACAAGCGTTTGAAGACGATGTCAAATAATTTGGATGTTTCCTTTGGATTACATATTGATTTCCCACACTTTTAAATTGTGTTTTTTCCTCTTCGTCAATAGGTATGAATTCCGTTTGTGGCTTGTTCAAAAGTAGATATTCGAATTCTACATTGTATACGGAATATCCTTGAATGTATGAGTAAATTGGTAATGCAATTGGTCTGTATAATGTGTAGATATCTTCTTCTAATATTGGAATTCGAAGATTGTAAATTAATTTTTCGTTTGTTAGCGTTATTGATATTTCGCTCGTATCTAGTAACATTCGGTAGTATTCTTTCCTTAATGGTACAGGAAATTTTTCGGATTTCGTTGTGTTTCTTATAGCTTCAAACAATTCTGAGGGAGGTAATATTGTTGGATGTACTATGCCGTGTTTGCCGTCGACGATTGCTTCTTGAAGCTTTTGCATTGTTGTTGAAACGTCGTGATAAAGAAATATGTAATCGGCTAATGTTTCATCTATTTCTAAATTGAATATCTCTTCCTTTGTGGCGTTTTGTAATAATTCAAAATTGATATTCAGCTTGTCTGTTTGCTGCTGAACATATTTGTAAGTTCCCAGGTTATCTTGTATCTTGTGGAGTAATATCGTTGTTTGATTTCTTACCAAGTGGGCTATCTTGATATTATCTTCTCTCAATTTGTCCAGTTCGTTGTTGTAATACTCTGCATCTGAAGCTGTCATTGTTCCAAATAGTATTTTCATTCCTTCTCCCACAGCATTAAGTAGTCCTCTTCTCTGTATATGTCCCATGAATTTCCTTAAAGATGTTAGCTCTTGATTCAATCGCTTGTTGCGTTCTTGTTGAAGGAGTATTCTTTGTTTGCTTAAACATGGGTTAATTTCGTTGCATCGTTTAGCTAACTGATTCGTGTGTAATACTAATAATCTTATTTCGTCTTGTAAGTGTCTATATTCAATTCCAACAGTGACTTTCCATGTATCGTGATATAACTGAGCTTCTTTTATATGTTCCAAGTAAATTGATTTCTTTGTGTCTATTGGCGTTATAATTATTTCTTCTCGATCAATCGGTTTCGTCGGTGCTTCGTGTATCAATGTGCTCAGAATCAGTAGCTTCAATAATCGATTCATTTTCGTCTTGTTCTCGTGCAGCTTCTTGATTTTCCTCTTCTGTCTCTGTAACATAGAACGGTTTCAAGTCGGATAGATGATATGTTAC